TTGATTGATTGGGTTAATTGTTTATTGAATTATCGTTTTGATTGTCGTATATGATTTTATTGTAATGAGTAATCGTATTGATTGATTTCACTTGTATTCGCCGATTGTATTGATTTGATGTCAATTGCTTTTACGACGTATTGATTTGATCGTTATTGAGATATTGAGCCAATTGATACTATTGACTGGAGGAATTGATTGATACGGATCCACTGTTGTAGCATCGTTCGTGGTCGTCAATGGATTGTTCTCTTTATGGATATGGATACATGCACTGCCGTATTGACGAGAAATAAGTGAGATTGAACGATAGATTGATTTGCAAGTATCTGTTCGGATACGATTCCATTCTATTGATTTGACAGATGATATAGATACAACGAATTGACTAGACGACACGATTGATTGAACTGATAGTATTGATTGATAGACACTGCTACGATGGATAGATATTGGCTTCCAGTCACTTACTGATTTGATTGCTGAGGCGTATTGATTTATCGATATTTTTACCGCTGTATTGATTATTGACTATTGATTTCCGTACTACATTGACTACTGATTTGATTTTCGCTGTACAGACTTGATTTCATTGACTATGGATTTCCGCATTGCATAGACTCATTGACCATTGATTGACTTGATTTGATTGACCTGCATATTGATAGCATCGTCGTGCTTTGATTTCAGTTGTAGGCTTTGGTGACCTATTGGGCTTTGTAAGCTCATTATATGTGGTTAAAATTTTCAGGTCCGAGCAAGGCAACTGGAATGGAGTTCGATCAGAATGTCAGACGAATCCTTTCACTATTGATATCTGGGGCATCACAGCTTCCTTAGCAAAGGAAAACATCAAGTTTTATAACACTAGTTTTCTTACATATATATTATATGTGCTTTAAATGAGTTGAACTCTCTAATATATTATATGTGCTTTAGATGATTTGACCCTTCATTTATGTTTTAGAAGACTAGACCTCTTTAGAAAGACTTAAGATAATTGAACCTTTATAGGATTATGTAGGTTTTAGATGCTTGGACCCCTCTAGGTAGGGTTTAGAACTTTAGATGATTAAAAACATATAGGTGGATTTTAAAAAATTATGTCTCTCAAAGGTCACATATAAGTTTAAAAAAATGTAACTCTGCAATATAAAAATGTAGGTTTTAGATTATTGAATCGGTTCCTAAGAGTTTTTGATGACCAAACTTCTTTAATAGACTTTACATTGTTGAATTTCTATAGTATTATAGGTAGGATTTATTTCGATATGAAAAAGTTTTAGAAGACTGCAAACCTACAAGTAGAATTGAGATAACGACCTCTCTAGATTATTAGTATGTACATCAGCATGATAAAAGTAGTGTAAATAAAAATATCCAATAAAAAAAAAATCTTAACATTAATGTAGCTTTATAATCAAGAAATAATATCTCATACGATGAATTATTGTGAATTTTGAGCCTATGTAAAACGATTTCATGATCAATCGCTTATTTTTGAAACTTTTAGGCATGATCAATATATTATGATGTTTTTTATTTTAGGATTACGCTATTGTGCTCAATAATATCTCTACTATACCTCACACATGATATTATAAGCTTTCTCCTTTTTAGGCGCAAAATTATAATTAATCAAATAAGCATCCTTATAAATTTAGAAGAAGCTCATTAGTTTTATAGCCAATTATAAATTAATTTTTTGTTGTTCTATCCATTGCTAAGGCAAAACAAATAGTAGTGGGGAGCTAAGTTGCACAAGTATTAGGCTCTAGCAACATCTTCTCGACTTTATAATATTAGAAGACAAAGTATTTATTATGTGTGCCAACATTAGTGTTAAATGTATAATGAAAAATCTCATGCAACACTCCAGAATAAAACACATTAATATTTAAAGTCTATAGGGTGTTACAAGTGGTTTGAATGAAATATAAGAGTGGTATATTTGATATTAAAGATGTATATGGGTGGTAGGCATGTAATATTAATATTTCAATGTTAAATATGTAAATAGTATGAAATAAAGTGGTATGTATGTAAATCTCCCTAATATTTATCATCATTTCATTAGAAATCATTTAACTAAACATGATGAAATTCAATTCATAAATATAAAAAATAAATCGATAGATAAATTCACAATAAATTTAGCATTCTAAATATTAAATTAGGAGTCAGACACAAAAAATTTAATCATATTTGTTGCGTCCAGGAATATTCGCGGCGGTAGATCAAAATAAAATTTAGCGTCGCAGCATTATACGAAAATCCGAAATGCAAACAGATGAAAGAGAGGTGCGACATTCATAAGAGGCACCAAGATTTTTACATGGAAAACCACGAGGAAAAAGGGGGAAAACCACGGGGCCTAGCCCTGTTTGAATGAATCCACTAGTATTGCAGTTGATTAAAAATGAGACCCTTCATTGGGGGAAGGCCTTAGCTTGATGTATATCTTATACATTACATAATTTGAATACAAAGAGTCATTGTTAATATGTTCGTCGGGTCAGAAGGACCAAAGTTGGTAGGTGATGGAGGTCTGAAGGATCATAATCGGCTAGCGACGGAGGTCGGAAGGACCGTTGGCTGACGACAGATGTCAGAAAGATTGTAGTCGGTGGGTGACGTAAGTCAGGATGGCTGTAGTCGGCTGTCGATGGATGTCAGAATGACTGTAGTCGGTGGACGACGTAAGTCAAGAGGACCGTAGTCGGCTGGCGATGGAGGTCGTAAGTACTGTAGTTGGTGGGCGATGTAAGTCAGGAGGATCATAGTCGAGGGGAAATGGAGGTCGGAAGAATTGTTGTGTGACGAAGGTTAGAAGGATGGCGTCAGGTAGAAATCCAGCAATGAATAGAAATCCAACATCAGATAAATGTCTGTCGAAAGTTCAACAACATGCAAAAGTCCGGCGTCGGGTAGAAACTTGGCGACGAGCGGAGGTCCGTCGTTGGATGGAATTCCGACGTCAGTTGGCGGCCGAGGAGAACTCCGGCGTCACTTGGAGTTTGGGTGAAACTCTGACGGTGGTCGAGGAGGAATTTCTTCCCTCCTATTCTTCTATTCTCCTCTTCTTCCTTCTTGCTTCGATCCCTTTCAAGAGAAATGAGGGGTCTATTTATAGATTTATGGAGTGCCATGGCCTGAAAATAGGTGAGAGATCAAACCAAATGTGGAATGGTTCGATGGACGGCAGATATTGAATCCCTTGATCATTTACCGTTCGTCAAACATTTGAAGATCTTAATGAAGTCGGAATTTGACAATCTTAATTGGGCTCGTTGGATTCGTCTCTTCGAGCCGCTTGATTCGACTATAAGCACATCATGTTTGAAAAAGGGTTTGGTAACTCAAATTATGGTTCGAACTTTCCAACAGCGCTTCGCGTGCTTGATCTGGACTCATTTGGACTCAGATTGAGTCGAATTTGGTGTCGTTGAGTTCGTATTTCTGAGACGCTCAATTTGACTGTAAGTTTGCTGAAATCGGAGTTCAAGTGATCCGTGATTTAATTTTTAAAATTTCCGGCTTTATTTGCCTCGAGATTCGTGCCCGATCAAGATAATTTTTTGATGATATATCAATCTTGTTTATTTATATTATAATTGTTGCGTCCAGAAATATTCACAGTGGTAGAGAAATATGAATTTTCGTGTTCTAGTTTTGTACGATGATCCAGCACATAAAAAGATGAAAGATAGGAGTATCATTTATAAGAGACATTAGAATTTTTATATGAAAACTCTTGAAAAGAGGAGGAAAAACCATATAAACTCCGGTGACTTTTATGAATGCCACGCTCATATTTTTTTTCTATTTATGTATTAGAACTTCATATAAAATTAAGATGATAAAATTTATATTTCTCTAGGGTCATGACCACAATAATATTATATTTATATTAATGCATCAGCATTAATAAACTCGATTATTTTTTTAAAATAAATTAATTTTATTAATTTATTATCAAATTTTTTATAAATTTTTAGTCATGACTCATGACGCGAGATACGATGACAAGAATTAAATAGTGATTTGAGGAGACCCATTTTGTTTAAAATATTATTAAATGATTTTCCTTTTAAATTATTTTTGTTTTATCCTTATGTTTCATGGCCAAAAAAAAAAGAACACATGAGACACGTGTAGAAGCCGCTGCTATTCACATCATCCTTATCCACACCGACCAAAAAGTTACGTTGCCGCGTTTCAATTGTACCTCCTCCACACCATAACGCCACCATTTACGCAAAGATCCCACCGTTCAGACGCGGTAAACTATCCGGAAGCCCAACGGCTGCGTATTCCAATTTTTTCGACTTTTCGGTCACGACAGCGGATAACTAAAAATAGATATAAGGTACAGCTTATGCATTATTTCTTCTTTGGCCTTTAGGCCGAGCTGAGATCTATTTATACACTGGCAGCGGCGAAAAGACGCATCTTTCTTTTTGTTCGGGGAGGAAAAGAAGGTTGTCCGAGATCTGGTTATACGCCATTGTTTTCTCTGCTGAAGTCTGAAACCCTAACCCTAATTCGAACCTTTGATGGATTGCGTCGGGTCTTCGGTGCAAGGAGCGGTGGGGCCGAGATTGTTTGATTTCGGATCAAATGACGTGCTGTGTTCTTTTGAAGAGTATGCGCGGCGATTGGAACCAACGGGCAATGGGAAGCTTTTGGATTCGTCGGCTAAGGTGAAAACCTAAAACACTCTCTTCCTCTACCTGGTCGAGAAGGAATTGGTGGAAGTACTTTGTTTTGCTAGATTTATTGATGCTTTAAGAAGTCACACTTGAGAAAGAAAGGATTTTGCGTATCGTAATTGAGAGGATTAGTAGGAGTGGTCATCCTCATTATTTCGAAAAAAAATAATTTTGCTGGAAATGTTCGAAACATAATACATTTATTGGAAGAGCATAATATGGTCTACGTCGTCGTCTGTCATTTAGCTATGCTTTAAGTCTCAATTTGTTTTTAATTTTCTCCCTGATTAAATACAGCGCGATGGGGCAGAGGACCTCTCTCTCTCTCTCTCTCTCTCTCTCTCTCTCTCTCTCTCTCTCTGTTAATAACTCAACACCTGCCTCCACTTCCATGGCTGTTCTCCTTTACCCGGGTAGGCTAGTTTTTTCTGACCTCTTAGGGAAAGGGCAAAAAGAAATATATTTCTTATAGAAATCAGTTTGCATTCTTGATCTGTTATGAGCTATTTGGCAACAAGAAGGATTTAGCAAATCCTTGAAATTCACTTTTAGTAAATCTTGAGAGGATTCAAGCCTGAAAATTGTTTGGCATGAGAACTGTTAAATCTTGTCAAATTTTCATAAACGACTCACTGCTTGTTTTTTAAAGATCTAAGATTCATGAAAGTGGAAATTCTTGTGATTTGACGAATTCTACATTTAATTAATACCCGGGTTAAAATTGGATTTATCAAAATCATAGGATATAAAGTTCAAAAATTATGTTTGGCATAAATCATTCATAATTTATTCATAATTTTTTTTTCTAAAATAGGATACCAAATAACGCCTTATTATTGTGATTGTTGTCCTACCAGTGACTTAACTTCCTCGACATGCTTCCAAATTGTCTTATTTTGATTATTTTTGTTGTCAACAAGCAGAATCTCCACGGGAACAGAGTGAGGAGCCCTTCAGCTAATGCATATGGACAACCAGAGGAGTTTTCAAGAGAAGATGTAATATACGCCGTTGAAAAGTGCATGAAAAAATATGCTGACAATCTCACCATGCAACTTGAAGGAATCTGCGGTAGACTAACTCAGTTGGAATTGTATTGCTACAAGCTTGAACGATCAATTGGTGAATTTCGTGCTGATATGATTCGTGATCAGAGTGAAGCCGACTTGAAGCTCAATTCTCTAGGGAAGCATGTTCATGAAGTAAGTGTGTAGTATAATGGGTACCTTTTCAAATGAGAGCTTATTTCGTTGCTTATAGGTGGAAAGCATGTTTTGGGTGAGTTTGAAGTAGTTTTTAGAGCTTAAAATCAATATTGATATCTAACTACAACCAACTAAATGATGAAATCCAGTTAATTTCCCGTTTTTCAAAATATTCCTATTAAATTCAAGCAACCAAATGAACCCATTAGATTACATATTTAAGAGAATTTGATGCTTCCTGTGCTAGATGTTTGTATTATGAATTAAGATAAGGTAAGTTCCATTCTTACAACTCATCCACATTCAACAGATAAAGTTTTTTATGGCATTTTTATAAATCATTTTACAAATAACTTGAAATTCACCATACAATATTCAGGTTTAGCATTATCTTAAGGCTTGGAGAAAGTTCTCATAGCTTGTTGTAGTCAAGAAGATATGTCTTGGGGAAGCTTATCAATTCCCAATTCCAAAAGAGTAGGTATTCAGCATTAGAAGTTAGACATATCAAGACACGTCTTTTTATTATAAACATCATAATTTATTCCTTAGAGCTGCAATAACGATATTATTTGGTTAATGCTTTAAGTTGGTAAAGACCTTCATGGAAGAAGGTGCATTTGGAGAATAATGGTTCTCTTACATAAATATGAAGTTAGATTATGGGGCTTTTGTCCTCCTACTTCCTCTACATTTTGATTTTAATCTTTCGAGTATGTGCTACAAATTGAACCTTGATTTAGCAATTGAATGCCATGTTTAGTGATAAGTAATAAACATTTTGAATGTTCTCTCTGTTTTCAAGAAGAAAAAACATCTATAGAGACTAGAGCAAGTGATAGCTCAAAATTTAAAATGAGGGAGTGGTGTGGGCAATCATACACGGGAAGGGGCGGAGTAATTGGGGGAAGGTTTTGAAGATTTCATGTAGTTTTTCATAGGTTTCAAGGTGATTCCAAGGAATACATTCAATTTAAAGTCAATAATCAGTACAAAGGTTTAATAATTACTTAATGGGGGTACAAATGATGATATGGAGGTCAATTTATGTGATGCTAGTGAATGTGTGGTCAAAAAAGAGGAAAATGGGGGTAATTGTGTTAGGATAGTTTCATGTAACCAACATCATATGTATGGTACACCACACAAGCAAGACAATTGCCACTATATATATCAGATTATCTTGCTTTAAATTTTTGTAAGATTCAATTTGAAAAATATCAGAAGATAATTTCTCAATTATTCAGTCATTTCTATAGGCAAATTTAGTACTCCTTAAAGCTTATTTTGAGACCATTCGACTCATATGGAGTATAAGATTGAATGCAGTCCCATTCTCTTATGTTTTGGTAGCTTTTTACCTTGCTAAAAGGAGATTAAATAGTTTGTTGGGTTACTTTGATAGAAAGGCATCATAGTTGTTGATTTTCTTCCTAATACCTTATAATTTAAGAATCTCACTGTTTCGCCATTCTTTGTTTCCTCTGGCCTTGTTCAGTCCCCCTGTGTTGGCTTTGGCTTTGTTGAGTTAAGCTCTCTTTTCTCCCTTGTTTCAGTTCTCCTCTTTGTGTGTGATTCTAATCATGGATTGAGCCTCAATCGCAGAACTTTTGTTCAGATCCCTAATTGCAGGTTTTTTGGCAATGATTCCTTACCACTAATCTTTCATCTATAATCCTTATCGTGAATCTTTCATCTGTGATCTATGGCATACATGATCCTTGATACTGGATCATCTTTGATCCTCTTTGTGTGTGATCTTGAAAGAAAGATGCTAATTATGGGCCTACATCGTTCTTGCTTTGTGATCAGGTCCGCAGGTCTGTACAGATCATCAGGGACAACCAAGATCTTTCTAAGGCCCAAAAGGAGCTGACTAAACTTCTACTCCCACAGAAAGACTCAAGCAACTTGAGCCACTCACTGAAAAAAGACAAGGGCCTAAATTATGTCATTTCAGAAAATAAAGCTAACTATGAAAGCAATGATGTGCCAATTCAGCCGTTGGCTCTTACTCTTCCATACCAAATATCTTCACCTCCTACATCAATTGCCATCAGAGCTCCTGATAAAAACCATCCAGAAAAAGAATTACCAGTGCTTCCACGAGATCATTATATTCTGAATCAAGCAAATGGATACTATTATAACCACAACCAGCCACTGCTAGTAGAGCAGCAGAGCCAAAACCTGCAACCTGAGCTACATTACGCACAACAAAAGCAGGAATCTATTGTGGCTGCAAACCAACCTAACCAGCAATCGCTTTTCACACAGTATCAGCCACATTGGTCTCAGCCAATGCAACCACAACCACCTTCTTCACAAGCTCAATCTCCAAGACTAGAAACTCCACCTGCCTATGCACCATATCATCCTAATCAACATCAGCATAATATGCAGCAAGAACCGCTCCCTCAGGCTAGCCAAGGTTCTTTTGCGCCACCACCACCTTTAGCTAAAAATGGTTATGTGGGAACAAGCACCTATCCTTCTCAGTCGAACATGCTGGGTTATGATGCTGTTTATGTGATTGATGGGAGCAGAACTTCTTATCCTCAGAGCTACCATCTTGGAAGCTATCCACCAAATGGTAATGCAACTGCTTTGCTGACCTCGTGTAGTTACCCCAATGGAAACATGGTTGAGAAGGCAATTAACATGGGCTATCCAAGGGATCAGATGGTTGGTGTTGTCTTTGGAACCGCAGAAAGCGGTTAGCCCTTGAACTCTATCTTTAACTTGATATGCTAAAGTTTCGTTTGGACGGTTTTCTTACTGGTTCTTAAAACAGCTTTTTAATAAAAAGCTGCCTTAAGAAGCATTAAGAAAGTTGTCACAAACTAAGCCTAAGTCCTTCGTGGTCATGCTAGTACATGGTCTCTCAGAAAGGTGACTTACGCTCTGTAAATAACTAAATATTAAGAATGACCCCAAAATGTTTGAGCTTTTTTTTTTTTTTTTTAATTTATGGCATGCCTGTTATTTGCCTAAATCCGGGTTCTGTATGAGGTCTTATAGAGGATTCCAGTATTCCACCACAATTTTATAGTGGGCGGAAAGCTTCAGTTCCAGCGTTTTGCACTAAGGAAAATGCTGTGTAACAAACTGTAATGGTTTTTTGTATCCATTTCTGCTTCATTGGCTAAAATTGTGTTTTAGATTTCAATTCTGGTATGGATGCCTTGTAGAGAATAATGTTTAAAAGATCATAGTACATTGAGATTCAGCATAGGCATTTAAACGGAAAACTAAAATAACATAAAAAAGATAATGATTTATTTTTTTTTTTTTTTTGGCTTCTAGTATGAACATGCCAGCCAATGAAATTTCTTTGGAATGCCCGTTTAAACGGAACTCTTTCTAGTCCTTCCATGATTCTCTTTTCTCATCCCAAACTCAATTCTCTGTTACTGCTATATTCACAGCAGCTACTGCTGAAACCTTATGCTGCGTAGTATTAATCCCAAGTACGGGTGCTAATGAGTCGAGTCGAACTCGAGTTGGGGGTGTTCAAGTCGAGCTCAACTGTCAAATACCGAGCTCGAGCTCAAACAACGCTAATGCTTATCCTGACAAACAACGTCAATGCCAACCATCCATCAAGGCTAAAGCCTATAATTGTCAACAACATTGATGTCCGCATCTATCATTGTCGACAATGCTGGCTCATGCTGCTGCCCACAACATCGACATCCATCATTTCCAACATTGTTGATGCTCATCATTGTCATCGACTCAAATGCTCAACATCAACAATAATGCCCACTATTGCAATTAAGCTACAATCGTCATGGTCAATCATGACACCCATCGTCATCAACAATGTCCACGTACGTCATGGCCAACATTAGGGACAAACGTCATCGCCATCGTCATCATCAACTATGTTCCCCACCAAAATCAACTGTTCTACTAAGGATGATGTTTTCCTTGTGTTCATTGGTCTTCACTCCAATAAGAAAATGACCAATCATGCCATCCATTGAGAGTTTCTTGATAATAATATCAACACATTAAAACTCTTTGCGTCCACCATAAAAGCCATTGTTCGGCAGTCCATTTCCACTATATTGTATTAATGTCTTATCAGGTTATAAGAAAGTGCACCCTTCATCATATACAACTTGCACTAATGTAATCATTTAAATTGGGCTAAGCATCAATTTTTTCTCTTCTTTGATTTTTCATATAAAAACCTTTTCTCATATAAGTAAGATTGTCACTATTGACTAAATTCCAAGCAAAATTACATTCAAGAATAAAATGAGAATAAAAATCTATCATGTTGTTGTAGTGCATGTCAAGGTACATGATGGAAGGTAAATTTACTAAATTATTTGAGAATATTAGGTCAGAGATATCATAAGCCCGATTAATATAATATAAATGTATAATGTATGCTCCGACGAAGGTAGTCAATGCACCCTTATTATCAAATTCATTAATAATTTCTTTTAGCTCATATATCATAGCTTTATAATATCCTTAATAAGGAGGATAACTTCAATTTCCACAACAATGTTACTACAATGTTTGTGAGAGTGTCCACCGGCCGTAATAAAATTGTGAAGATCTTATTAATTATATGCACAATTGGTCATAAATAACTTATACAAGCTTATATGTTTCCAAAGTTCATTTGAATCATCCTATAATTTTGATGATGTTTATTATTGTGAGTTCAAATCCCTTCAGCATGGAACCCAAGGTTTTAAGCTAATTTATAGTCATCACACTCATGTTGAATTAGATAAGCCCTAAAACTATGTTCTTTGGCTTAAACCAAACTAGCTATAGGATTCACCATTTGGATTGGTCTCCATCACTAATTAACTTTTTCTAAACTTACCCTAGCACATCTCAAACTAGGATTGGAGTAGCGATAGGTTTTTCCAAACCTATTGTAAGAAACCTAATATTATTGAGAAAAGATGAGTGAAAGTCCTCATCAAATAAAGAGACATTAGTGTTATGGTTTCAAAATTCACTTGTTCTTGTCAAATTCCAAATGCAGCTCAAGCTAACTCTACTCTATCCACTAGTTACTGACTTAGTTCTCGTGACTAACCAATGCCATTACTCATCATCATCATCATCGAGCTTTACAATGCATTCGTGTTACTTCAAATCAAACAAAAAAGTAATCACCTATATTTATTTTACATTCATCCAATCAACTCTAAGAATTTCAAATATATTATTTTCATTTTACAATATATTCAGTTTACTTTATATTTCTTCTACATCAAATCAAACGGTCCCTAAATCATATCATAAATATTACTAAGATTAAATATTTCTCTTATTTAAAAAAAAAAACAAAATTTTTATACTTTGATATGATTTAAACACTAAAATAATATATAAATAAATATAATATTTATATTTCTACCTAGGACTGCAAGCGAACAAAACCTTCGACGAGCTACTCGATGCTCGGTTCGATTAAAGCTCGTTCAGAATCGTTTAACCAACTAAACAAACAAACTTGAACAACATTTTAAATACTCGATCCTTAAATAAACAAGCTTGAACACTAATGTGTTCAGATCATTTATATTCACGAACAATATCATTTTGAAGTTCATGAACAAGCTCGACATTAAGCTCGATAAAAAGCTCAATAAAAGCTCGAATTGAGAGAAATGCAATAGATAAGCTTCATTTAAGAATATATTCATATAGATTAATCATATTTTCATTTTAAATAGACAACTGTTTTTATTATAAATTTAATTTTATGAACAAAATACATTTCACATTTGTCTATGTTTGCTAGATTGTTTGTTTAAGATGTTCATGAACAAATTTAATGTTTGTTTATTCAATAGATTATTTGTTAAATATGTTCACGAATATAGCTCGTTAAGACTTGTTTGTTTAAAGCTCGATAAGCATTAAACGAACCAAACATGAACTGAACATGAACCAAACATGAACACTCTTAAATTAAACGAACCAAACATGAACACAAACAATAAAGCTCGAATCAAACATGAACTGAACTTGAACAAGCTAATGATAAACAAACTCAAACATGAACACTCACATACTCGGCTCGGCTTGGTTCGTTTGCAGCCCTATTTCTACCCTCTTAAAATCCTACTTTTATCAAATCTGTAATCCAAAATCATAAAATGAGTAAATCAAATCACCTCATCAGATAACTTAATGAAATTAATAAACCCACACAAGAAAGGACATATGACCCCAATGCCTTTGGATCCACCCTCGGCCGGTCGGCCCTCACAGCTCATCCTGACATATGCATCTAAATCAACCCAAAGACTTTTAAACCGAACCGGCACTCAGTTTCTTTATATATTATCTCTTTTTTTCAATATCGAGTCAATCAATGACGTGCATGTTGGCTTGCTTACTTTGTAGTCATGCAAGAACTTGTTCAAAGCTTTTCCATTTGTGGGACTTTTTGAAGGAAGAATATATAGCTTCTCCGCGTTAGACCGGGTCCGAGTTGTGAGCGAGAAACAGCTGTGAAAACCCGATTGGACCGGCCGTGCCGTCCCTTGTTGATGTGGGTCATTTCAATTTAATATATTTATGATTAACATTTTAACTTTCATAATTATCACGTAGCATATTTATTTGCTTTATCCCACAAAAAAATCCAACTTTGTAACATCAATATTTATAATTGGATTAATCAAATATTTATGTGGTAAATTTAGTAAAAATGGCATGAAAAATAAAGATTAATTATTTCTCTTATTTTTTAATTATTTTAGGCAAATTTGGTGGTATAGAAAAACAATGGAATTCACTTGAAAAATGAGATGAATTTTAACCTCTAATGTAATTTTGAAATATTAGAATAATATAATAATATAAAATTAATATTGATTGCATCATATACAAGGGCGGATCAAAGAAGAGCTCAGTGTAGCGAATGCTCACCACCATCACAACAACAATAACAACATCAAGTCTTTGTCCCACTGCATGCGCTCAGCTACATGAATACTTTTTCTCCATTGTGCTATGTTAAAAGTCAAATTATTGTTTAATATAATAAAGAAATAACATTTCTAATAATTTCTAAAGAAGCCTTTTTAGGTCCACTCATACCTTTCTTAATACAAGTCAAATATAATAACTCTACTTTCCTAACCGGGTCATCGCAAGGCCGTGGTTTTAGGTGACCAGACCATCTAAGTCGACTCACTCTAATATTATCTTCCCCTAGAGCTACCCCAACCATTTTACGTATATGCTCATTTCGTATCATGTCTCTAAGGGTAAATCCGCTCATCCACCTGAGCATCCTCCTCTCTGCAACACTCAACTTAATATTATGCTTCTCTTTTAATGATCAACATTTTGCACCATAAAACATTGCAGGTCTTTCCACCATCTTATAGAATTTTTTTAGGAAATGCTCACCCTAAAACAAAAATTCTTTAATAGAATAAGCCTTCTAATTATTTAGATGCAGATTAATATCACAGTGCCCCGATGTTTGCTCTGTAAGGGTTTTTTCCCCTTGTCAGCGCCGTTCGCTGCTGTGTGGGTGGCCTTCGTCGCTTGCTTCACCTTTGGGAAGTTCTCCTTCTTTTCTAAAGCATTTTTTTACGGTGTTCTACTTGTTTTGTTTTTCGGCTTGATGTCGTTTTCCCGTCTTTGCGACCCTAGGTTTTTACACAGTTCTTTTTCTGCTCTTTCTTTTAAAGATGCTTTGTTTGGGGCATCTAATTGTTCGGACCCTTTTCCCGATTTTAATTTTTTTTTCTCACCGTGGGTTGTCGGTGTTATTGATTTCGGAGGAAGAAATTCAATCGTTCACTGCTCCTTTTCAATTTGCTTAGTTGGCAAGTTTCCTGGTCGGAGGCCTTCCAGTGATGTCATTAGGAAATTTTTTTTTTCAATCTAATGCTTAATGAGGATTGCTTGGTCATTGTACTCAACCCTTGGAATGTATTGATCATGCTTGTCAATGATTTTGATTACTGTAGGATCTTCTCTCACCAATCTTATTTTGTGAGTAATTGTTTTATGAAAGTAGTGAAATAGACCCCGACTTTGGACTTTGAGGTTGATTCTCCTATCGTTCCCATATGGATTTAATTTCCTTACCTTCGGCCTCATCTTTTCTCCCCACGAATTCTCTTTGGGTTGGGTTCCTTGTTCGGTCGGACTTTAAAAATAGATACTTCGACGGCTTCTGGTTCTCGTCCATCTATTGCTCGCATTCTTGTAGAGTTGGATGTCACCAAAAAACTCCCGAATAAGATTTGGGTGGGTTCGACTAATTCTAGTTACATTTAGTTGGTGATTTTGGATGATCTCCTTCATCATTGTTTGCATTATAATTCTTCAGGTCATTTGAAAGATGAATGACGTATATTACATCCTCAACTAAATCTTGCTGCTAAACATGTCTTTAGAGAGGCTCATCCCTCTTCAGTCTCATGTGAGTTGGCTAGTGTTAATGTGGTTATTCCTAATGTTACTTCTCTTATGTCTCTGGAGGGGGCAGCTAATGGAGTCTTTTCCCCTATGATTGCTGATCTTGACCAAAATTGATCTACTGTTGTTATGGCAGTGACTCCGTCAGGTGTTTTTAATGAGAGCGTTATTGCTAATAGTCATGTTGTGGTAGTTTCTACTGCTCTAATAGGTGTTGGCTATGATGATGGACCTGTGGCTTTGGCCTCTGTGGGCCCTATTGTTTTGGTTACTAGGACTACGAATGATGAAGGTGTTAATGAGTCTTGCAATTCTGTAATCAATGTTGTTTCTAGTGATCTTAAGGAGGGTACATGTAACAATTTGGGGAATGTTGGCAATGATTCTATTGTGGGTTGCATGAGCCCTATTCCTTGCTTGGTGAATCATATCTCTACCCCGATTCCTTCTATTAATATTGATGTTGATGATAAGGAAGAATTTTATTTGGATTCTGTGGTCGGGGATGCAGGTAGTCCTTTAGTTAACCTGGCTGTGCCGAAAACTATTGTTGATATTCTTATTTCGGTTGTGTCCAATACGGAGTTAAAAGCCCATCTGGCGTTATCAGTGAGTAATTCATGTGTGGATCATTCTAATTGGTTGAATGTGTCTGATGGCGATGTTGATGAGATTGCAAATGAATTTCAAGATTCGCAATATATGTATAATTTTATGGCAAGCCGAGTAGGTGATCATGATGTTTCAACTGGTGCTGGAAAAAGATCTAAAAGTAAATCCAAAAAAAATGTAATCGTGCTATGCTTTGGTTTGGCTTTTCAGTTGATTTCTGAACTATGATGATGCATTTCTGCTTAACCCTGGGTTGGCAACCTTTGTGGTTGGTGTGGTTTTCTGTGCGCTCAGAACTTTGGCTGGTTGTTATGTGGCTTACAATTGTCAATGGATAATCATTTATTTGCTACTCATTGGGTGCAGGATTGCCATGCTGAGTCCTTTTGGGTGGTAGCATTTGTTTTAAGTCGTGTTTTTGTCGTCTTAGTTGTTGCTTGGACTCTTGGGTCTCTTTTGGTGGTGCTTTGGGTGGCTCGTGTGGCTCTGGGTAATGGATTTTTCTTAGTGCTCTGGTAGTTTTGTTTTGTTCCCTTATTTTCTTTTGTTTCTCTTGTAATAGGTAGAACGCCAGCTCATAGATTTTTTTCAATGTCTGTTCTTTTAGAGAGCTGGTAGTTCTTTAAGGCTTGTAATTTTCTTATAATTATCCCGTAGCCCCTCTGCAGGTTTTATTTAAAAAAAAAAAGCCTTCTAATTATTTTGGCCCCCAATAATAAATGTATCAACCCAAAATTTTAAAAAAAAAAATCAATCCTAAAATTATACACCTCCCAATTTTATTTCGGCTTCACTTGGAACAACTTTGTTGCTCCTTTGCTTTTCCGACCGCAGCCACAATTTTTATTTTGTCATTATTTTTTCGTGGCTCTAAGGAAAATTTTGAAGTTGTTTTCTACAACAACTTTATAATCACATTTATAAAAAGTTATGATCATCACAAATGGCACCTTATACTTTGTTTGAAATGACTTTCTTGCTGCTTCCATCCCAAACAAAGCCTTAATACGCCCTTCAAAGTAAGATTGATTCTGTCCTGAATGATGTAGATTCTTCTGTTGTTTATGATGAAGTATCCAACACTATTACTTATATTATTTGATTTATTCTGATTTTTTTAAGCATTTAGCTTTTTTTTCTCCTTTTTTTTTCCTTTAAAATAGTTCTTAATTAATACCATGGTAGAATTTTTTGGATTTTATATTTTTTGTCTGCCATTCCATATGAACCTTGATCATGAAATTTTTTCTTCTTTTTTAAGCAAATTTATATAATATACAACGGCTAGCTGGCTACAACTTATGAAACACTCAGTCTGGGCAATTAAAAGCTTTAATAGTCACAAATGGTGCTATTAGAAGCCTAATTGCACGATTACAGCTAATAGTTTTAATGTTAATGGTGATGACAATGGTAATATGTTGCTGCTGATGACAAAAGCAAGGACAATATTGAGGTGCTCAATGACAATGTATGACACCTATTAATTTTTTTATGCAGATGTCGAATGTCATCTGAAGATCAACCAGAATTCGTCATGTTACTCATTTGCTCGATACTGCTCGGTAACATTGACGTGGCGCATTTTGGTTGCTCTTCGAACAACATTCTGCGTCCGACTCCGGTCTCCTGCCGACTCCGGTCTCCTGCCGACTCCGGTCTCCTGCCGACTCTGGTCTCCTGCCGACTCCGGTCTCCTGCCGACTCCGGTCTCCTGCCGACCACGATCCTTCAGGCCAAACAAACCTGTATATGTAACTCTTACCATGTAATGCAATCTATATGATGTACATTTGCTACATCAATCCAAGGCCTTCTCCTAAGGAAGGGCCTCATTTGTAATCGACTACAAATACTAGTGGATTCATTCAAACTGGGCCAGGCCCCGTGGTTTTTCCCCCTTTTCAGGGGTTTTCCACGTAAAAACTCTGGTGTCTCTTATGAATGCTACACCCTCTCACTTATCTGCTTGTGTACTGGATCTTCGTACAATGCTAAGACATTAAACTAAATATTTCTCTACCGCCGCGAATATTGCAGGACGCAACAATATTAAATGATAGAATCCAGAAATTTTTTCTTAGAAGTTGGACAACAATATTTATTGAAGGTGAGCAAAATAGTTAAAATGTTTATTTTTCTAAGGGAAAAAAAAAATTCAAGATGGGAAATTGCACCCTAAACTCTTTTTGGTTCCACCCGATATGCCGGCTCTTACCAAAATATTTGCTTGACTGACATACTCCTTATTGATATTAATAAATCTTTTGTCTTGCAATGCTCATTTTCTCTTTAGAAAAACTTGCACTTAAGAGAAATTTTATCGCATCTTGATTAGCCTTTGGACGGTCCGATAACTGCACTTAATAATCTCCCCTTTTCTTATGGCTTTTCTTTCCTCATTGCTACATGCAAATGTCACCAACTTATTTACACTAAATAATCTCTAATTTCTTTTTTGGATTTCAAGATTTTCTCATTTGTGATTCATCTTATGCCTAATTATCTAAATTGAACTTGTATGATTTTTTCAATTAACAAAATGATTAAATGTCTAATAAAAAATAATTAAGATAATTATGCTTCTTAATCATGTTTTCATTATAAATTTCCTTTTCATTTTGTTCATAAAAATAATGAAAATGAAATTAATTATGAGTCTGCATTCAATGGTTATTCAACAAAAGCATCCCCAACTGTTATTAGAAAGAATATGAAACAAAAAAATAATATATTTCTATACAATCTGAACTAAACATTTAAATCCTCGAGAGAAGTCTTAAAATGACCTCTTAAGCTGTTTAAAATCAGAAGTCTCAATGCATTCCTCTGTACCTTTGAGCCCATTCAACATTCTCAGTAACTCACTCGCCTTCTCCTTCGTGTTGTCACTGCACCCAACTTGCAGCAATAGCAGCAGCTTCTGAAAAGCTCCAAACTGCATCGCCTCCTTCAGACACTTCTCTCTACCAACATTATTCTTCTGATTCTTACAGAGCTTCCAAATCGCCGATACCGCGAATTCCGTCGTGATATCCGACACCCTGAACATCTTCTTCACGAGCAACGGCACTGTGAGGGCATGACTTGATGCCTTTTCCCTCCCAATTTCCGAGTTCAAGACTCCATCGATCACAACCAGCCCTTTCTCACACAAGTTCTTCTGAGCATCAACAAGCATGTCCAATAGAACAGTAACAAATCCTATCTCTGCAAACCTCGAAGCCACTTTCTCGTCTGAGGAGACCAAGTAATAGGCCGCGACGAGCGACGCCTTGGTTGCCTGTGGCGAAAATGGCTCCTTGACAAGCCTCACAATTGACTCGATTAAGCCATCAGTTGCGGCAATTTGAGCAGCTTGTTCTGTATCGGCTGCAGCAATTTCTTTCACCATCAAAACGGCATGAAGCCTACCTGACAGATTACCATTCCTCATCACAGAAACAATGGAGTTAAGAGATTCAGTCGAAGACAATAGCTTCCTCGCCTCCTCGCTAAGCGGAAGCATGCCGGCAAGTACCGACAGACCCTGTTCGGAAGGGAATTCCTTAAAAACCTCTGAAACCACCCGTGCGGCGGCTCCGTTTGACGAAATGCACCGTCGGTTTCTTTCGCTCTCATTTGACCAAGTTTTGAGTTTGGCCACAAGGTCAGAACATCGGGGACCATCCCCTCTCAGCAAAGCCGCCGATATCTCAGAAAGCGTCTCCGCAACTTGTATAGAGGTGATGGGAGTTTTGGGTGTGGGGATTCGCTCGATGCCGTGGGAGCGGTGGGCAACACACCATTCTTGGATCATGCGGCGGATGGTGTGGTTAGGGATGAGGCCGCCGTCGGCGACGAGGGGGAGTGGGAGGAGTTGGTTGGTGAGGGGACACGTGAGGTTGCCTGCTTCGAGCCAGGTCTCAATGCTTCGGCGATCGTACGTGATTCCGGTGGGGAGGGTGACGGGGTCTTTCATTAGGTCTAAGGAGATTGGGCAACGAAAATGGTTGGGGATCGGGACGTCGGAGGGGGAAGTAGAGGTTGTAGTGGTGGTGGTGGGTCGCCGGGAAGTGAGTTTTGGGGCTAGTCTGCAGAATCTAAGAGGCATCTTAGAGAGAGAGAGAGAGAGAGAGAGAGAGAGAGAGAGAGAGAGAGAGAGAGAGAGGGGAAGCTGAAAGAATATTGGTATATGGTATTGTTAATTTGTTGAAGTGAAGGAGGGGAGAGGTATTTGAAGGATGAGTTCCGCGTAACACATCGCTTACTTTCGATGGTTTCCAGTTTGAAAATTTGACCGTTGAACACTTGTTCCGCGGAGGGGAACGGATGAGAGACCGTAGATTGCCCGGGGGTTCCGATGGAGGTCGGTCAATTACTTTATGGATTTACTAGTGGCACTTTTGTAATAATTTAAATGAACTATCCTCTCTACATGCACATCAAAGCCCTACACAAGATTCTGGCTGGGTACCTGCCCAGGCGGGCTTAGCGCACCCATGCTTACTCATGATGAGTTATGGGATATTGTCCTCATGCTTTTTGAACGAAGTCCGCCGCGGATTGATGGCCTTGAGGTTTGTTGCTCTTTGTTTTGACTACAAACTTTCAAGTTGCATATCAGAATTTGTTGTGGTTATAACATGGTTCAATGTTGCGCACTACGTAGAGAGATTTGCGGTAATATAAAGCATACAGTGATTAGCAATGTAAATCAATCGGTTTATCCTCCAATGTTGAATATTTTCACCCATACCTGCCTATGAGGTTATAGGCGTACTCATATCCATACACATTGGGTATGGATGGATGGATGGATGGGTACGTGGATGGGTGTGAATATGGGTATCCAATGCAGGGCTATGATGCACATATAAGTTCAACTTAAAAATTATCTTTGAAACTTTGATTTATTTTTAATTTGAATTAGATTAAGATTAAAATTAATAAGATACCTAATGACTAAAATTAAAATATATACAATCAAATTTTAATCAAATTATTATAGATATGACATTAATAAAAAAATTATTTTGATCATTCTGATCTCTACTTAAATAATTTTGAATTGATTTTAATTCATTAACATTAAGAAAAAATTATTACGTGTGGTGTCTAGATGCGTTTGGAGTCCAATTCAGACATGCAGCATCATCCAATGCAAAGTACATGGAATAAAAAAAAGAGATTCATGCTTGTCGTATTCATCCTATGAGTAGGGGTGTCAATTTGGGTCAGCGGGTCGGGGTCGGGTCGAACTGATTCATCTCCAATCGAACAGCATTTTTCTCCTCTTTTGCGGGTTTCTTCGGCAAATCCGGTTGAGAAAGAAAAATCGCGTAGGTAAACAGTGCAACGCAGACATCAATATTGGCGTCGCACTGTTCACCCTCCTCCGATTAGTGATTTTATTGTTGTCTGGAGAAACCCTAAGAAAAGCGAAAAAACTGGAAAAAAAATGGGATAAGAAAGAATTCATACTAAAAAGAGTCCAAAAAAAAAGACATGGCACAAATTAGATTTTTTAAATATTCTTTTAATTTTCTTCATTCATGTTTAAGATTATAATTTATTTTTATATAAAAATAAGAATTATAAAGGGTTGAATGAAATTTAAAATATGATTAACTATAATTTAATGAAAAATTAGTACTAATATAAAAATTTAAAAATGAAAAATAATTATATAGTTCTTTTTCCTCCTTATAAAGTTTGGGATGCAAACCAACCGAGAGTTTGACAAGTTGCTCATTGCTCGGCTTGATTGCAACCCAACCATAATCATTTGTTTAACTAATCAAACAAGTTTAAATAATTGTTCGTATAGATTAAAACTTGTAAACATATTCGATAAGAAGCTCCATTAATATTTGACAAATAGCTCGTGAAACAAACTCGTTGAGAAAATTGATTAATTTTCTATACAAAGCTCATGTACAACTTGATAAGTATGTTCGTTAATGGGTTCAATAAGACTTGATATAATTGTTTGTTAATTGACTCGATAAGATTCTTTTATTATATCATACTTGCAACTCATTTAAAGCTCATTAAGCACTAATGAATCGAATACAATCAAGCTTAAACATCATCTATTTTAAGAGAATCAATCTTGAACAAAAACAAAAATGCTCTAATAGTACTTGAATCTAGCTCGAACAAGCTACTAATAAATGAGCTCAAAATGCAGCTCAACGACTTGGTCTATTTAATTGTTGGGAGCTTTGACTATTAACCAAGAGATCCTAAGTTTAAATCTTATATATACGATGTGTATAAGAGTTTATCAATGTCCCAAATAAATAATGGAATAAACTCAAACATGAATAAGCTCTTGCTCAGCTTGTTTCCAACTTCTTTTTTTTTTCTTTGCGAGGGTGGGGGTGAGGCCATCATGGTGGAACCTCTATCCCTCTTGTGGGGATAGAAGTACATAAAGGAGGAGGAATAAAATCTAAACACAGTTACATTCACTAGAAATTGTTCACCATTCACACTATCTTAAATTTCGCACTAACAAAGTTATGTACCACCGATTAAAGCATTGTACCACATGACCACACAATTTTAAGTAAATAGATAGATAAAATAGCAATTCATCACATTTATTTACATAATGAAGTCACATATTCTTCGAGTCTTGTAACTCAACTAAAGTTATTATCGTTGGTGCTATATGAATCAGTGGTGTTATGAGAAAAATATTAGATTGACATGACGTCAAACTCATGAGGTTTTGTTTGAGACAGCTTTCTTACTAGTCCTTAAAGTTATTTTTTAGTATAAAAATTAAAAAAATTTATACTAAAAAGCTACTTTAAGAAGCGGTAAGAAAGTCGTTCCAAACGAAGCCTGAGTTTGCACTTGTCTAAGATGTTTAGAATCCATGATCATTATGAACATCTTCGTTTTTGCCTCTAAATTTTCATTATCTAGTGTAACCTCGTCTTCAGCAAAAAGTTCACAAGCTTGTATCTAAATTAAAAGAAATATAGTTAAAATTAAATAAAATAATTTTGTTAGTTACTTTAGATAAGTTAGTGTAATATTTTCTATCTCTATCTAGCATTCTAAAACGACAAAGAGCTATTTTTATGCATCCTATTGATTCTTTATAATTGTAATATATCATAGATATAGATTATGGAAAAAATAAGATAAAGATTAATTATTTAGTCAATATTAAAAATAAATTCAACAAAGTAATTTCATATTATTTCTTTTTTATCTTCAAATGAAATTTATGCGACTATTCATATGGGGACATATTTGTTTCTTTGTATTTTGAATATTCTTATTTCCCTCCTCTAATAAGTTATTTAGTGAACTCTACCATTTTTTAAAGCAGACATAATAATAAAGGCACCTTGATCAAAAACAACTTCAAAGTCCTTAATCTAAATTATACAAAATATGTAACTATGTAGAATTTAATTTTCATTGGCTCTTTGATACAATTGCATATTTTCTTTGAATCAAATAATAAAAATGGCAAAGGTAATGTTAGCTAATTAATTAACATGCTAAGTGACCAAAAATAAAATTAAAATAATTATAATATTGTTCATCTTAGGACAATGAAGACCAAGGCATAATTTTTTTGTGACATTTTTATAAATTTAATCAAAAATTCAAAACACTTTATCGGATAATCGCTATGAATTTCTTTAATCATAAATCATTCACTCAGCATTAATTTAAATACCTTAATGAAACTTAGAATTGAGTAGTATGCACATTGAATTGCTCTCATTAAGAAGCTTAATCATGAAAAATTTTGAAGATTGTGAGGTACTTTTCTTTTTTATGTATTTATTTATTTATTTTGAAGATTGTGAGGTACTTCAACTACATATATGATATATTGTCTAATGATAATGTTGTTTCTGAAACTAATCTAAATGTGAGTGATGGACATTGTCTAGGTAATGTTCTTGTTAGGCGTAACATAGAATCATATGATGTTAACAAGGTTGTTCTGTTTGAGTCTTCAAGTGATTTAAATACTATCATTTCTGTTTCACCCGCGGCTTCTTTTCCTCTTTAGCATTTTCCAGCAATGCCGTGACCAACAACCACCAGCTATTGCTACTAACAATCACCAGTTACTACCACCATCATCTCAAAATATTATCAACTTTTGACCTTAATATTGGTTACATTTGTCCGACTGTGAATACTTACTTTCTAAAATTAATCCTATGATGATTAAGCCTTGTTATTAGGTATAAATATTTGATCTTTGTACTATTCCTCTTTATTAATAGTGAAGAGAATGGAAGATCTTTGTATCTTTGTACTATTCCTCTTCATTAATAGTGAAGAGAATGGAAGATCTTTGTATCATTTATTACATTGTGGATTTCACAATTGTGCTAGGCCCCGTGATTTTTCCCCCTTTCCAGGTTTTTCATGTAAAAAGTTTTTCTAGTCTTGCTATTTTTATATGTTCGGGTATAATCTTTGTACACCGCTAAGACATGAAACATATATTTGACAAGCTCAAATTTTCTAACACGCAAAAAATATAATTAAGATTATATTTATAAAGCATGCTAAAAAATACTAAAAATATATATAGGTTTCTTAATTTTTTTTTAGACAATTTTTTTTATTATCTTTTTAGAAATTACTTTTTAGTCCAAAAAAAAAAATTGGACTGAGAAGTTATTTTAAGAAAGAGCAGAAAAACCACTGAAGGTAGGGCTGTCAATTTTTGACACGACCCGAAACACGACCCGAATCTGACCCGGAAAAATTTGGGTTCGGGTCGACCCGGTTAGCAAACGGGTCAGGTTTGGGTTCAAAGAACTGACTCGATTTGCGTTACGGGTCGTGTTCGGGTTGACCCGGAAATCCGAAAATGACCCGGAAATGAGTTTGCCCGTTTCTATTGCCCGGCGTGCCCTCCCTGCCTGCGAATCAACTCGACGTGTTGTGTCGCAGTCCCAACTCCCAATCGCGTCACTGGCGAATGGCGCTGTCTCGCCTGACACGAATTGACAGCCCTAACTGAAGGAATTGAAAGGAAAGGAAAAAAGCGCTTTTGATTTGCTTGGAATGAGTCAATAGAATAAAAAATCTGCCTTTGATACTATTGCATGTGAAAGAAAAAAAATAAGCTTTTGATTGACTTGAATGAGTCAATAAAGCGGA